GGCAAGCAGCACACAGTTGACTCCCTCAAACTCAGCACCAGCGGGATTATCTTTCCATGTCTCTCATTAGATCTGAGCCGGTATAAATGTAACTTAACTCATGCAAAGTGAAAATAAGTTGTTTTGATTAATTACTGAATGCAACGTTAGCCCTACTTCCTGTCCAAGAGAGATTTATAGTTACACTATCGATCTCGCAGGTAGACAACGTCAGTAAGCTCCAGGGCCCAATCGGTCCTCCCGGTTTCAACGGCTCTCAGGGACCGACTGGTCCTGCTGGACCTCCAGGATTCAATGGAACACAGGGACTCCAGGGTATCATGGGCCTTCAGGGCTTTAACGGCTCACAAGGAGCTCAAGGTCTTACCGGGCCACAGGGACCTCAAGGCGCAGGAAACATTTCTCAGTGTGAACACAAGACAGATTCGGTGGCAGGAAGCCAAAATCCAGTGACAATATTTCCTCCTGCCGCTCCAACTACGGTCACTTTGGAAGAGCCGAGTGTAAGTAACTGTTTTCTACTCTAAGAGAACTGAGGACTTTTTGACGTTCTGTGATATTCTAAGCTTTACATCAGTATAGATAATTGTCGAATTGTAATTATTTAGTAATTAATAAGTAATATTTGAAGTATTGTTATTCGAACTACCACTTATTTATTTAGTCTACGTCCACCCCGAATGTAGAATAACCTATTATATATTTCAATTTATCTCAAAACTAGAGGGTCCAAGATTCACAGAGAATGCAACTCATCTCATAGATGTCTTCTTAAACAGAACTTACAAGAGACTCAACATGATATTTTGAAATGTAATAATGTTTTTAAATAGCGTCGGTCTGGAAAGAATTTTTAAGTACTTTTTTTTCTTCCAGGGTAGAAGGATAATTAGCGTCACATGCTCAACAGACAGAGCTCAACAGTATCTTCTTAGAAGCAGCATAAACCCCGCCGACGGTGTTCAATTTTACTTTTGTGATTGCTACGGACACTATGGAACTGGCTCGCAATCCGTGGACTGCATCATACATTACTGGGAATGCCCGCTTACCGCTTAAGAGCGAATGTTCCCAATGGTGAAACATATCGCTCATATTCTCAAGTTAGGTAGGCCTTAGTATCAAACAAATCACGACATACTTCGTTTGGCTGAATATCGATTTATTTACGAGAAAATCGCTAATAACCGAATTCCGTCAAAATGCCGCTTTTGGAGCTCAAAATTTAAGACGAATCTCAAAGCTAGACCAATAAAAATTATCAAATCTTGAAAACCAACATCAAAATATATGTTGACAGCAATTTGAGCAATTCTTGCCTATATTTATTTACAAAACCTAATTAAATTTATCCGACCTACTTTTAACTAGACTGAAAATAGGTCAAAAGAAACGCTTTATTTAACTATGTGCTATACGAAATAATTGACTGAAAATCTGGCTTTTGGAAGGCGACAAGTAGTTCTTGTCGATAAAATGCACCGATTCGACGGTACCGTTAATTGGCCGGAACACATACAACACGCAAACTCGATTGTTTCGCATTTGAAGTCCAGTGTACAATTTATTTAATATAACATCCTCTTACCTTCATGTCGCTGTATCAGAAAACAGGGCTGCAGTCCTGCTGAGTCCTGAACTGAACTGTTGCATCGTTCACATAAAAGCAATATAACTTGGGGAATAATGCTGCGCGGCCTCCTGATCTTGAGTTGTTTACGAAGAGTATTTCGGGGTTTTCTGATTCGAGGTTTCTCTGTTCCCATCTCGTTGAAAATGAGGCTGTAATCACTCCACGTAAGATAACTTTGTTTAAATATAAGTCTTGAACTGAACAGCGAATCAGATGCGGACAAAAATGTGGTTATTTCATGGACATCTGTCCCTTGTTTAGCGGAATAACGCAAACTTTAATTTCAAAACGAGGTGAACTGAAATCGACAACTTCGACAAATTAACTTTGGAGGGGAGGTAGGGAGATTGTGTCCGCGTTTCACGCACAAATTTTGACAAAATTCAAGTGTCACTTATACTTTTAGCTGCTTTTAACTATACGTTTTCACGAATTCACGAATCACGTATGTCTTTTAGTTGTTTTTCACCTGTCACACAAATTTTTGCCTTCGTCACGTGTCACGCATAAATCCTTGGACTGTGAACTAATCGGTCAGTTACTAAGTCAAAACTGAGTTTCGTTCCAAAAAANCTCAGGACGACTGCGGCCCAGGTAGCACGTGATCATATTTACATTTATCTTTCCCTATCAGTAGTCTAAAATGGTTTTTGAGCTCCAAAAGCGGCATTTTGACGGAATTCGGTTATGATCGATTTTCTCGTAAATAAATCGATATTCAGCCAAACGAAGTATGTCGTGATTTATTTCACACTAAGGCCTACCTAACCTGAGAATATGAGCAGAATTTATTTTTTGGCTGTTGCCACCATATTTTGAAAATATTTAAGTTTTGGGCACATTCGCTCTTAAAACTCTATCATCGTTATGCATCTTCATTGAAAGGATATTGACTAATGAAAAAGCTAAGTGATCGATGCTTTAAAAGATCTGGGGGCCATTTCTCGAAAGCCCCGGAAACTTTTCGGGCCCGCAAAGCCTTCTTTAGTTAATCGGTATTTAAAGATCTAGACAGAGAGGTGTATACGCCTGAAACTTCTTGTATGAAGGGAACTTCTGTTTATATTGAGAATATGTACATAAAACAGCTCTCAAGTCATAAGGTTTGAGATTTTGTTACGGCTTTTCGGGTGCGAAAATTTCTCGGTACCTTGGAGAAACGGGCCTCAGCCCCGGGTTGTTCGAAAGGTGAATAACGCTATTCACCGGATAAATCGCTAACCAGCGGATAGCGTGGTTTTTTTTTTTGTTAACACTTCTTTATTCGATGGGTAGCGTTATCCAGTCTTTGAATAACTGGGACCAGGCTTTTTTGGATGATTTTGTCGACTACGAATAACGAGGTTATTAACTAGTATCTTTGTTAGTTAACATGCAGTTCTGCGATGCATGGTCCCAGTTTTTCATTTTCTTTCTCTATCTCTCTCCTTATTCTTGTCAGTTATTTCTGTTCTATGTTTAATAGTTATTTACCTGAGGGAAGTAGAGGTAAATATCCACCACTTTCACCGACACTGAGGTGATTAATCGTTTTAGTATATGCTACACAAACTGAAAAACTACCGGGCCAAGATATGGGTTTATTTCTGACAATAAACAAACATTACCTGGAGGAATTAGAGGTAAATATCCACCACTTTCACCTCAGTGTCGGTGAAAGTGGTGGAAACATGTAGGAAATTTCATTTCAGTCTGCTCGGAAGTGAATAGCACTTTGAGAATCACCTCCGAGTTAACCACTCAGAAAGCGTGAAAAACACTATTTACTTGTGTTGTTGTGAGGGTCGTGACCCATAATCCCTCTAGAGTTGTAACTCCCATAAGCCCTTGCGGTATAAGTGTAATAAACAAGAAAGCACATGGTCGAAAGTGTTGACTGTGTTTGTGGATTAGATCGCTGTTTCCCACTCGAGACGCTGTCGAGATCCTGCTTTGAAGTTCTATCGGCGAGCGAGTAACATTGTGCATATACTACCACATGTAGTAGATATTTCTGCTTTTTTCCTTTGAAGCTAGAATTTCACCTTCCTCATGGTAAAAATTCGACACGTTGGAAATAAAAAGAAGACATGACTGATCATCGCAGTTATGCACACAACTTATTGCCTAACTGTACCGGTATCACAGAGCAATGATCAATTATGTCTTCACATCTTTCTTCGTAGTCCAAATATATGATCTTTCATATATTACTTGTCAGCTGGAAATAGCATGCGCAAGACCCGTAGTAATACTCTTCAGGCAGCTGATCATTACCATATGATTATTTTCTGTAAGAGGCCTTGTGATTCAAAAGATGTCAGATGTCAGTTCAGTTCCTTCCCTGTCGTTTCATTAAAACCATTTCATAATTTACGAGAGAAAGTCACATCTAAATGCAATGTTGATGTCCAGGTACATAATCATATGTAATTCTTCCCTGTTTACCCTAGGCAAGCCTTGTGAGAATAGCACCTTACCTGTTCTTATACAAATAACATCAAAAGAAAAATAAAGATAATTTCCTTACACCTGCGACGTGGATCATACTGCTCCGAGATTAACACTCCCAATAGATTAGAATCTTGCCACTAAAATAAGCAAAATATCAACTAGTTCAGATATTTTGGAGTAGACGAAAAGATATAAAATGACCAAATTTCCACTTGGCATGTGTTCATTGTGACCAAGTTTCTGGAAAAGTATTAATACTGTCGAACCTTTCTACAGAAGCCTCTTTAACGTGGATATCGAGGAAAGTAGCGTGTAGAGATGGAGCCGTAAAGAGAAGTTTGTTAGATGAATTTTTTTTCGAGGGGCGCAATATTTAAACTTTTTCAATGCGTGTTAAAAAATCGAGTATCGCAGTGTACATAAAGGAACTCAGTAACGGTATTTTGAGTTATTTTGGCCATGACCTGAAAATAGTAGTTTACCTAAGATCGAAAAACTGAAAAGAGATAAAAATCAATCCATAAAGGAACACGGTTTGTTGAGGATTTGGAGAAGATTGCCACGGATTACAAACGACGAACTTGAAAAATGTAGGCTAAACCTTTTAAGATGCCCAAACCTTAAAGTAGGTCCTTTAAGACTCGTGATAAAAAACAAAACATTTTAAACCACACATTTACTATCAGAGAAGCACAGGTGAACTGTAAACTGACCTGTGTCTGATTAGGCAGAGAGGTCCGGCGACCTTGCTTAGAAAAAAAAAACAATATCTGTATTGAAAAAAAAAAACTACACTTGAGCATACATCATCCAGTTTTCCAGTTTACTGACCCTGAATATCTAACAGCTTTCCAGCGCTCGGTTCCGATAACTTGCGATCGTGAAACAAAGTAACCCAGGCGTTTTACGTAGTTTCTATTCGTTTTTTTTTTTTTTTTTTTTTGCTTTTAAAAATTCATTGATTCACTGGCCAGTTTGGAAAACAGGGAGGTACCACNGGCTGTTAATGTTGGCAGCTATTCAATTAAGCCAGGAAGACGAAGATCGCAAATTACGCGTATTTATGTTTTATTTAAATAAAGATCATTCATTACGTAAGAAAGTCTTAGTAATTATAATTCTTAAGTTCACAATTGAATATCAAGTGCATCTTTAGAACCTTAATATTATAGCTATAATTTAATATCAATCATGATGAATCAATGCGGTTAGCCTCATAACCTTTTCATCTTTGATTAATAACAAAATTAATATTACGTTTAGTAATGGTAATAGGACTGCTGAGTGGAGTCCAATTCAGTCTGTAATCATACGAGTGATAACAAAATCGGACTGGACCGCGCAGCGAGAGTCCGATTTGTTTATCACGACTGTGATTACAGACCGAATTGGACGACACGAAGTGTTATTACAATTAATCATGAAAATCACAGTTTCCGGGAAAAGAAGAATAGCCAAGTTATGAAAGAAAGGGAAAATTTGCATTAAAAGACTGACAAAGAAGGCGTAAATTGTTTAAATGTGACCAAGGTTGTGATTGGTTGATTAAACTACAACGTTAAGTTTAAGTTTGATTTCAGCGATCCACAGGCTGGAAAGGATCTCTGTCACCGACGAATCGCCACACTGAAGAGCCATATGCGGCGTTACATAAATGAAGGCCATGACATTAAAAGTGCTACTGATATGGAGGCTGCGATCGATTCCTATGGCGGGATTAAAGGGTGCCAGGCAGCAGTTGTTAAGGTTCAAGAGTCAAGCCAGACCATGAAGAAGCACACAATGCCTGGGATTCAGTCTCTGAATAATTTTAGTTTTGAGTCTGGAGGTCTGCGAGTGTGGAAGGCTTATGATGTGGGCCCAGGTAAACGCTTTACCCTGCACAGGTGAATAGATTTGGAACACCTCAAGGACCTACAGACCTACGAGTCGAGCAGCCCTTCAGTGTACCGTGAGAGGAGGCTGGTGCTTTTAGATCCACGACTTTGAGAGGTGAGCACCGACAGCCTCAGCCTAGCACTGCACAGTCTGTTGAAGAAGAGCTTTCAAATGTCGAGGCTACGAGAGTTTATTTCGCTTGCCCCGAGGAGGGATGCACAAAGACATACCAGTCTTTTGCAAATCTGCAGAAACACATGGACGTTGGAAAACACCTTGTGAGATTAGAGAGAGAAACTACATATGACAACATCAAGAGAAAATGGGCCGAGACGTGAAGGGAGGTGTCTGGAAGCTACATACACAAAGAAACAGGGTCGAGCTCCCAAACGGCCTGTGCTGATCCCGCATGAGAAGTTGCTAAAGGATGGGCTCTGAAAACATCACGAAGAGCAACTCGCTTTTCCGAGAAGGTGAAGACATATCTAAAAAGAACATTCCTGGAAGGCGAGGAGACAGGGAGAAAGCAAAGTGCTGTGGATGTGTGCAGCAAGATGAAAACTCTGCGTGATGGTAATGGGAGGAAAATTTTCAATAAAGAAGAGTGGCTTGCTGCTGACCAAATAGCTAGGTACTTCAGCAGATTGTCTGTGATGTACAGAAGTGGCCGACTAGCCATAGACCAGGCTGATCCGAGTCCTGCTCAGGATGAGGAGGAGGACTTTGTTGCAGAGGCAGAAGAGATCTCAACCAGGCTTGAAATTTGAAGGCAGCTGGAATTATGATACAACGAATAAGTTAATTACATATGTAATATTGCCTCTACTACTTCTTACTGTCCTTCCAGGAGAATCAGGATTAGGCAGTC